TGTGTTCACAACATGAATGCCTTCAACTAACAAAGACGATCTTTATGCCATATTAGTGGGTAGACAAAATAATGAACCGCGGCCGCTCACTGTACTTGGCTGCTCCTAGCACAGGGAAAGAAAGAATTAGCTCTTCCAAGACAGGCAGGGGCTGTAATCAGCAGGCTTCCTTTCTAATCTCTCTTTTTCAGATTATTATAAACTTGACAGACTTTATTCTTTGGGGTTGCTCTTTTTCAATGTCAGCATCTGTCTGAAATGAGTATTTTTAAACTTTTTTGCTTAGGAGAACTTTTTAAACCTATGAGTAAACGCTTGAGTTCTAGTATAATATGGTAATACCTGTGCTTGATTTGAAGAGGCTATTAAAGAAAAAGAAAGTCTTACATTTTACACCGACAGTATTTGTTTGCTGAAAGATTTCCTCTTAAGTTTATAGAGCAGATAAACCTGAAAAGCTTTGTTACTGAAGCATGAATACCTAGCTCAGCTGTGTGAATAAATAATAGTTTAGAGACTCAAATAATCATGAAAATGTCATGGAAAAAAAATCAAGGCTCCTAAGTCTAAAAGTGAATTAGCTTCTGGTTTAGCAACTCTATTCCCCCACAGCTCAGAAGAAAGATATATAGAGTGTGTTTGTGTAGATAAATTTGGAGGTATAATTAGATGTCTCGTCTCTTGATTTGCACAGGGAAGAGTCTTCCAACAGGCCACTAAAAACACATTTGATGCATGAATTTTAAGAAATAAAATTGCAATAGGGGTGCATGGAGGATGTGAAATGTCCATCCTTGGCGATATTCAAAATTTGCCTGGACACAGCCCTCACTGACCGAGGTTCTAGCTGGTCCTGCTTGGAGCAGGAGGCTGCAGCAGAGCCCTCTGGAAGGGCCCTCCCACCTACGTGACTCCTGCTATGGCATTAAGCAATTAAATTTGTGCAGTGATGCAAAAGGGCAAGATGACAAATTAAGCTGGTATCTGAGCCCCAACTTTCATGCTTTTTTTTTTCTATTTAGAGGACAAAATACATTTGTTTAATATCAGCTTCTGAAAAGGCCAGGAGCTGGGATAGCAATTCCACCAGGAAATTTTCACAGTGCTCTATCGACCTCGCAGCACCCACGTGAGTCAAAGTAAACATTATTATCCTGAGGAAAATCAGGGTAGTGGGTCAACGGAGGCATGTTAAATGCCAGGCAGCATTAGAGGCAAACGCTCTGAGCTTGCAAGTGCCTCCCTTGTGTCCCCCTCCAGGGCTCAGCACCACCACAAGCCCAGCACCTGAGAGGGTGACCCCGAATTCCCTCCAAAGTTAATGGGAAATAAAGACTTCTAAGGCTCACCCACAAAGAAGCCTGGACAAAAGAGCTCGGATAACGGCCATGGCCATGGGGAATCAGGTAAAATACATCCCTAGCCCAAATTCTTGTGTTATTAAGTATTATAGTTTCATACCTTTAAAACAGGGAAGTATTTATTCTGAGTGAAACGAAAAGAAATTGAAGAATTAATTAACTAAATAGAGGTGATTAAAGTAAATAAAGGAAACAATTATCATATCAAAATAAAAGACAAGAAAGATGATTAAATGAGTCTTCAAAAGACCCGTGAGAAACTCATGAAAGACATAATATGCATTTACCTGGTTTTTATTCTTTCATGATTTCATTTTCATTTTTATTCACTACCATCTGATAATTGCGAGAAACAGTTACTTTAACCATGGGCAATTTAAACCATTTTAATTTTTTTTTCAGGGCCAAGAGACAAAAGAACCTATTTATTGCCTGAGGGGATTTTTACTAAAATGAAAGCTTAATCTTTCATGTTTTTTTAAGCAAAGGCTTTTAAAAAATCATTTCTAACAATGCTGTAGGGAGAGACTTCCATGGGTATGCAAAATTGAAATTATAAATTTACAATTATAAAAAAATTAATAGTTTGGGGGATTGCATTGTCTCTGTTCCTTCTCAATGAATACTGTTTCAAGCTTAAGAGAAAATATTTAGTACATGGAGGAGAATGACCGTCCTTAGACTCTCCTGCAGTCAAAGCTATTTAGTAAGCACACAGTATATATGAGAGAAAGATATTAAAGTATCATTTGTTTGGAAATAAGTCACTGTATGAGCCTTGGAGAAGGAGTTTCACACAAATTCAGCAATGACTGTAACTGGTGGCAAATTCTTTTTGTCCCTTTGACCATACTGCAGTTGGAGGCCACTAGCAAAACCTGATGCCCTCAAAATGTCAGGTACCATTTTGGCTTGTTCTCACCTCCTGGCCTGTGTTTCTGTATTGCAGATACATCCAAGTTGGTCTGAGCACCATCCCTTCTCAAATAATTTGATATATTCAGGGTCATTAAGTCACAGCTATGCAAAATTAAGCTACAAGATGAATTTAACTGAAGCAATTTTAAACTGAAGCTTTTATGGCACATATCTAAAAAGGAAAACACAAAAGCTCTTGACCAAATACCGACTCCAACCTTAGGAGAGATGTAGATATATATAGGTAAAAACATGGGTATAAATTATCTGATTTGCTTGCCATGGGTTAAGGCATATTAGAAGCACATGTTTAGCCTAGCTCTGTTCAGTGCAATATTTTGGATCAAGCAAATGATTAAAATTAAGCATGTACCATGGCATTCTCCTACATTTGGGCAGTTTTCTGAACTGAGAAATATTAATTTAATGCATTATCTGGAGAGACACAAACATTTCTTCCTGGGCTTAGTGCAGGCTTTGAAATCAGACAAAATAATTTATGCTTATGAAAAACAACAAACTGGAGTGCTCTATTAAAAGAAAACTAGACCAAAAAAACACCCTCAAGGCCTCTATGTATCCACATGTTGAAAGGCAGATTTAAATGTTTTCTGCCAACACATTTCAAGTCTTAATGGAAATACTTTGAGCTAATATGAAAACCTTTATCGAACTAAATTCATTTTTCATAGAGCAGAGAAGAATCATTGAAGACATTATTCAGGTTTACAAAATATTTAATAGGGCGGAGAATGTGGAACCTGATAAGAAAGGTTAAACTGAAGGACATTTTAACATGGATTAGTTTTAGGTTGGTTATGGAACACAAATAGCTAATGAGCCTATTAAACATCGGCTTTCTTTTTGCCACACCTGTCTGATTAGCACTAAAAATGTTTGTGCTTGGCTACTAACTCTCTATAAGACTTTTAAAAGCACTAGTTATTCTAAACATATCATTCAAAATGCTAAGCATCCAAGTTTTCTCGAAAATAATACATGGTTAGTGTGTCAGCCAAAATCATTAATGTGTTTGGGAAAACCTTGCCATCTGCTCTAATACACCAGCACCTGCAGACTGTAGCCATCCCGGAGAAGCATCTGCCCAGCTCCATTGAAGTGTCTCTCATGTGTTTCTCCACACTCAGATATCTGCTAAAACCACGTACTTTCGCAGGGATGCGGGTTAAAAGACAGGAATCCAGCCAGGCTGGATAAGGAGATTGTGGAGGAGGAGATGAGAGCAAAATGTGGATCTTAAGCATGCATCCTAGGGATGCACTAGCAGGGCAAGGCAAGGAGCTCTCCAGAAACACGCTGTGCTCCACGTGCTGCTGTCCCCTTTGCTCCTGGACAGTGGTCAAAGAGCAGGTTCATCTCCATCTGTCCTGAGAAGTCTTATCATGCGGCTCAGGCCATGCTGAGCATCCTTTGGGAGGACACGCTACCCAAGAGAGAGCTCAAGTCTAAAGAAAACAGGCACTACAAAGTTATTTTCACCCAATCTGCTTCCAAGAGCTGTTCAGATTGAAGATATATTCTTAGGTCAACATGAGACCCACATCATAACCAGGAAAATGCTGCCCAAGTTTAATATTTTGTCAAGCTGCCTTCATATTACCTCTCTCCCAACCACACAATGAAAGTGTGATATGATGGGAAGCACTGGCCAGCTTTAACAGCCCGCACTGTTCTTGCTCCCGGTCCTGTTTTGCACTGAAGACTGTTTTCCTTACTGATGAGCTCAGACCGTCTGCCATGAATTACTTTTTCATGGGGAATAAATACAGACTTAAACAAGATTAAACACAAATGTTCTTTAGTGGTGTCTAAAATAATACGAATGTTTTTTAGAACAGCAATAAACGCACTTCACGATGCAAATAATTACACCCTGCAGCCTTTATCTACAGATAAGCGGCCGGATTCTTGATTCAGCTACATCACTGTAAATCCAGAGTAACAACACTGAATTTCTCAATTTCTCCCTCCGCTGATTCTGGAGATGAAGAACTGTTATTGTGCTCTGGATTTGTCCTGGTCTGAACGGCAAGGGTTTTGCAGACATGGGGCACACACAGCTGAAAGTCTCCACTGCAATAACAGAGTGACCACAGTCTTTGTCCTTATTCCCTCAAAATGCTTCCTCAGTTTAGAGTAACGGATTCGGAATCTGGCTGCATTTTCCTTGTGTGTCTGATACCACTTCCAAAACTGATTTTTAGTTATCCCTGTAAGAAAACTCTACTGAGGCCAATGGTAAGGAAAAGGAAGGGGAAAAAAATAGAGAACTGCACAAAAACCCAGGATGGGTGAAGGCAATATGTGCATGAAAAGCTGCAAATCAGTGATTACTATCTCCAAGATTAAAAAAAAACAACTCAGTTGATCTTTCGCTAGGATGAGAAGGATTTGCTCATGTTCTGAATCCTCTCTGAAAAGCTAAATTTTGCTCAAGTATGATTCTGTTATGGGGTTCTGCAAGATGGGTTCGTTAGGCTGAAATGAAGCTGGAAAGGTGAATGTGCCCAAGTTGGACTACTTGAAAAAACAGCTTGTTATTTTCTTAAAAATAACAACACAATTGCACTCGGCTGTTAAAAGGGCCTCCAGAATTTATATGAGAACAGTGCTTAGGCACACACAGAATCACAGTTTTGACTGTCTTCCTCCCGTTTGATGCTCCACGCCGTATTTTGAAAGAAGGCGCAGGGCTCTTACCAGGACTTGTGAGGGCTCCCAGAGCACCGGTCGTTGTGGAGAGAGGATTTGCATTGGTGGTAGTAGCTGAGGTTTGGGCGGCGGCTGCTGCGGCTGCTAGAGTTGCCAAATTCTGTAATTGTAAAGCGTTCATGCCTGCGTGGAGAAGCAACAGGGTTAATTAACAGGGTTAACAGGGTTAATGCTGTTCTGCTTCAAAAGTAAACTATTTTCAGTGGATACAGAGCTCTGAAGGTGCCTTCTCAAGAGACTCAATTCTTCTTTTCACTTTCAAAACTTCTATAATCTGGGCACCACCTTTTACAGCCCCCAGGTGGGATCTTTCACCTCGGCAGTGAGAGGCTGTGGTTAAAGCACTGGCCTCCAGCTCAGGAAAATTAAATTTGGTTTGTGCCTCTTCTATAAAGGAACTGCAGAATTACAAGTCATTTAAACTCCGCATGAAGCAGAGGCACAATACTATTTCCTGACACCACAGGGGGTGCAAAGAAGATATAACCAACGTTTAAAACACATTCAAGATAGGGCCATATAATTCAGATGACTATTAATTGTTTCTCGTGTCTCCTCTGAATGCCTCTGCTAATCAGACACTGCACGGTAGCCAACGGTTGCAACAACTTCGCTTTTGATAGTTCATTTCTAAAATCACATATGAACTAAGAGCACCAAATCAGTATCAGACCGATCACTCAGCAGCCGTCATTGTACTGGGAGCTTTTAGCCTTGAAGTACTGAATTGTACGTGTTCATTGAAAAGATTTCAAGTTGAACCAGACATAGGATTTGAAAACCCTCATGAAGTTCCTCATCATCACTGATTTCAGGAGACTTTCCTTGAAATTTATTTGCTATTGCCATTTGTTAATGTTGTTGCTTCCAAAACTTACTTTTCGATTCATTCTTTTTTTTCTGAGTGTGTTAGTTTTCCTAACAAGAGACAGTACTTCTTGAAAACTTTGTTTTTCAAACCAGTGGAACTTAATAACAACTTACAGAAAATGAAAAAAGAGGATAAATTCAATGCTGTTAAGCACTGTATGAAATGAAGAAGAGGTATTTTATAGGAGCTGAGAACTACTAAAACAGCGATGATTCAGTGAGTATGTTTTTGCAAATGTCACTGTATTTTTTTGAAATACTCAGGGAACTGAACCACTTTCTGACAATACATAGAACCTGGAGCGTATTTTTTTTTTAATTAAGAATCTCCTCTTACTTTGGGGGTAAAACCCTGAAAATACTTGAAACAAAATTTTAGGGATGGAGAAGACTGAACTGGGGTCCTACTCTTTGCAAAAAAAGCAGACAGTGGTCCTCAAAATGAGCCATGGGATCCATTTTCATGCTGGTTTGATATTTGGTCCTCAGGGAACCCTCTTTTATCTTCCTCCTCCACAAGAAGTACAGGTAATTCAGCAGACGTTGCTGGTCTTTACTAGGGCTATGGTTCGTGCTGTTCTGCAATGCCATCAGTGGAGGATTTGCTAAAGCCCTGAGCTTGCTTGTCACCAGAGCAACGTGGTTTCTATCGGCCACTGGCCTGCCATGGATCAGAACGACCAGTGGCAAACACAGAATCACAGAGTCACAGGATGGCTGAGGTTGGAAGGGACCTCCAGAGATCACCCAGTCCAACCCCCTGCTCCAGCAGGGACACCCAGAGCACGTGGCACAGGGTGGCATCCAGGCGGGTTTGGAAGATCTCCAGAGAAGGAGACTCCACAGCCTCTCTGGGCAGCCTTGGACCTCTCCCCACAACTCAACAAATGGGTTTTGAAGTAATTCACTATTGCTTTTTCTATTGCATTTTATCTGGCCAGGGCTGAACACCCAAGCAAAGCTGCTGCTGCATCTGAGTGGATGCAAAACAAACACCAGCACTGCCTCAAACTACAGTGTTTTCTTAGCAGGACATCTCCTATGGAAGCAGAAGATGAATCCATCAACTTGAGGAATTGCGAAGCCAAAAGACTATCAACAAACACAAGCTCTGCAGAGACAAAGTCCTCTCCCCACCTGGCATGCTTCACTGCAGGCGTGACTAAAAGATACCGGCCACCAACCAGCTGTGCAGATGTCATTGGTGTCAACTATGGAACCATCACAAAAACAGCTCTTTCTGGTAGTCATGTGGAGGAGAAGTACCTCAAGAAGCTGCGGTGACTTGGGCACCACAGGGCGGAGGTTTATCACCTAATGGGCATCCATGGTTTCATCCATGCCTGCTGGAACATGTCTCAGCTAGGCCCTGCCAGCGCGGTTGCACTTTCCTCAGACATTTTATCATCGCTGCTCTCTCTTTTTTGGCTTTTCCCATCAAGTTGTCAAACGCATCAAAAATCCCACTTGCCAGGACAAACGCGGAGGAGGGAAACCAAATGCTCTCAAGCCCCAGACCCAGAACGTACTTTGCTTCCCAACAGCAATCGTGGTTCCACTGAATTTCAGCCAAGGTGCACGGCTGTGGGACTAATCTGCTCTCTCATTCTCTCCTCTTTCACACACTGCCTTCACACATTTCACATCCTACAGCTTTTTTTTTTTTTTTTCAAAACAGTCCCAAATCCCGAAACAGAACTGGACCGAAAATGAGGAGATCGTTTTTATTTGAAAGTGCTGCTCACTCAGCAAATGCACCTCTCTGAAGAAATGCAAATTGCTTAACACTGAAGAGCAGCCTCACAGGCAGAGCTGCACATGAAAAATGAAAATCCCCCGGTAGGGAAAAAAACTTCTGGGTAAGAAATAACTCTTGATCTTCATGATGGAGATGATGTTGGGAATTAAAGTGAAATGATTAAAAAAAAATAGAATCACAATACAGTTTGATTCCATTTTTAATAACATGTATTTACCAATGTGCTATCAGCTTGGCAAATAGTCAAGATTGCAAGGAAATCCAACTTTCATTTTGTTATTTGGCAGATTAAAAAAACAATTAAATTATGTACAAAACAGATGCACAGTATGCCTTGCTTGAAACTTAAGATTTTTTAAAAAATTATTTATAAGGATAGGGGCATGAAAATTTAATTTAATGTTCACCTTAGGTAATTTTGTGTCTTATTGTTCACAGCAATTACCATAAATCTACATATCAATAAGCAAGAACAGATGTCAGTTGTTACAAGTGCTTGCCAATCAGGCCTGTTAAAAAGTGACAGATGGATGGTTATAGAACATTCTCATAAGGCCTATTAGCACATTCGCAGGAAATTTTTGTAGTGCTGCACAGGCACAGATGAAGTGCTGTGAAAACACGGGGTAAATCTGAGAGCACGAGATTTCCATTTTACAACTTCTTGGGCTGCCTCCGAAGCAAACTTTGGTACTATAAAGAAGTAATTTGCCACGTTTTGGTCCCCACAGCTTTTCTGCTGTGATAACGGTAAATTTGGAATTACTGAGTATTTGTGGAGAAGGCAGTACAATCGCTGAGAGGTTCTTAAACATTTCTTAGGCTTCACCTGATTTTGGGTTTCCAAAACTGTAATAAAATCACATTTAGGAAATAGTTGAGATTCACTTGTGCGTGCATACTGATAAAGGAAGGCAATAATGATGTTTTAGTAACTCTATATGTATCAAAAACAACATGATCAGTGGTGATGATCAGAGCCAAACGTTGCATGGATCACAAGCCCTTTCCAACAACTTGACCCCTACAGCTGCCCACGTTTTCTTCAGAAATGTTATCCCTTCCAACTATTAGGATTTATCTTTCTGAATTAAACCCTGACTGCAGCCTAAAAATTGTGGCTTAAGGTAAAACTTATCACGGTAAAACTCTGGGCCAAAAGGCGACCATTTATTAACACTGGTACTGGACATTTGGGAGGTTTAAGTCAAAAAAAAAGTGGGAAAAGTCTTCACGGATGGTGTTTGCAAGAAGGTGATGTTACTGCCAGCAAAATCCTACATATTACAATGGACAGGAGACCTGAGCACTACCTCCATCAAACCACACATCCTCTGCACCCTTCTTTAGAAAAGCTGCTTATTTGCACAGTACTTTTAAAGTATCCTGACCACTTAGTGTCTGATTTAGCAAAGCCATTAAAACAACTTTTAACTGTAAGTCCTCATTTCATTCTGCCCTGTTGATCATATTATTTAAAAGCATGTGATAAATCCAACTGCAAGTTGTAGCTACTGGTTGACTCGCACTGGGATTCGGCACATTTTCGAGTCATACATGTTCTTAACCCTTTCCTGGTAGGGAATGTGCTTTTCTCTCAATTTAAATTTTCTCAGTTCCAGCATGAGATTTACCTGATCTTACTTTATCCAGATAAAAGTTACTCGCCTTTGCTCTGGCTGTAGTCAAAGGAGAGAGAGTGGGTGATTCATCCAATTCTAAAACAGGCAGATTAACCCCAGCTCTTGGTAGGATGAAATCACTCCTCCTTCACTGATATTACAAGGAGGCTGGATGCCTAATTTCCAAATGGCAAAGGTCAACGAGATGAATTCCACGCAGAGCTGGGCCAAAGGAGTAAAAAGTCTCTCTTGCTCCTTTTGCTGCTTGCAGAAAGCCCAGCCAGAACTACGGAGCTTGTGCCCGGACTGGGCCCAGCTCCACCTTGTGCCCTTCCACCGTCAGAACAGGCATGTCCCATCTCACCACCTTTCCTCTCCAGGTGCTTCTCCTGCTTCTGGTAGCTGGACTGAGAACAGCCTCAGTTCTTGCAATCTTTGCCTCTCCAAACACCAATTGCAGCCCCTTAATTCATTATCTAAAAAAAGTGCTATTGTATGGGTCAAATTAAGTAGGACTTTCAATGGAATTAGTGTTACAAAAGTTCAACGCGTTCAGTCCCTGAGCTCAACGCTTTCAAAATTGGTAGTTATCTTTAAGAAACAGCTATCTCCCTTGAGCTAGAAACAGTTTCTTGGTGACCTTTATTTTTAATATGATATCCCTTAAGAGGTCATAGCAGGAGAAAACCTCTTTCAGTACGGGCTCTGTTGGAACGAAGCCACCAAAAAGTCAGAGGATGCAAAGGATCCATTGGCCAATGCAGAAGCATAGAGCTTTTGTGCAGATGGTCCTGGCTTCCAACTGGTCCCTCCAGATCCACCGAGCCAATCCCACAATTAGAGGGAAATATTCAGAAAGCAGAACCTTGCGGAGTTTCTCTCACCCATCTGCTCCTGCAGACTCTGCAGCAGGAGGAAATCTGGCTTGGGTAGCAGCAGAGGGGTGAAACGAATTGAACAGGAGTCAGAACAGGCCAGAAGATCAACCCAACATGCAACCAACCTGCGAGGGAGCTTGGAAAAGACTGGGAAAAAAATACACACAGACACACACTGGAAAAAATATAAAAAGCTCCAGCTGTACAGGGCTTATGGGTCCACAGCAAGAAAAGCCAAAAGCTCTTATACTCCTCCTGCGCAACCTCAAAGAGCAAAATATACTGCTTATTCACTGCCATGAATTTTGTGTCTCTTATTGGTACTGAATGGTTGTGCATATAGCAAAAGATCATCTGTATGTGCAAATATTTATTCCTGCTAAAACATACAAAGCTATTTAGATGGACAAGAGAAAAATTTCATAGATAACATATTTTTGGACATTGCAACTTCCTACAGCAACCCAACACGAAACAAAACCTCTCTGTTTATTCTTGTCTGTACAGCACTTTCTAGATTCTTCTTAAACAGACAGGCTGGCCTAAACCACTGCAGCTTTTAGGTTCTGACCTAGGGCCACCCAAATTCAACAGAAACATTCAGAGACACTAATCACCTCTGAACCAAGCCTTATATGCAACTTCTTGCATATATGTGAGGGAATGTTTTTAGCATTTATAATGTAGCTCATATCATCCTTTTGAATAAGACAATTAAATCACATAATGCAATTCACCCACGTTCCTAGCCTTCCCCAAAGACAAAGCCCAGCCAGGCTGGGGAGACATGTGGGAGAAAACACTGCTTTTAAATTACTATGAGGAGATACCCATGGAGGGAGGAGGCATTCACTAGAAAATACACCCTAAATGGTTGTACGTGCTTGCATGATTTACAGAGACCAATAAAGCAGGGTTGGCAAGGAGAGGGTTAGCTCCTGTAAACCAGCACTGCAGGATTACTACACTAGCAAAGGCAACATTGCCACCCCCCCAACTTTACTAGTACTCTTGACATATTGCACTCTTTTCTTCAGCTTGGCTTCTGAAACAGAAGGATTTCATGGAAATCCTGCTTTGCAATAAAAATGAGAAAACTAGCCAAAGGAGGATGGAACCTTAGGGCTGGAGGACCTACATGGCAAACTACTACTTTTAGTCTTTCAGATTTTAAAATCTCACAGATTTTAGTCAAGCCATTTTCCCTCTGCGTTTGGACATTACACACAGAGCAAAAGCAGTATCAAACATCTCATAGTGGGCTCCTCCAGCAAGAGCAGCATTCGCTGCTGGAGCTGATCTTCTGCGGGTTCAAAGTCTGGACATTCGGGACTTCTTGAGGAAGAAATACTTACAGGTGTGAAGGCTCCTAATTTTGACCAAGGGGGTGGCGATATTACCAACACCAATTTAGACAACCATGACTTGGGGGGAGTGTAAGTGCACAAGAGCTTTGTAGAATTAGAGACCTGGCACCAAAGACTTGAAAGATCCAAGTTTTACCCCTTGAACACGCTGCACATGTTTGAATGAATTCTTATATGCAAGAGCTACCCAAGTACGCTAATTCTGTTGTTGCTCATGCTGAGGAATCCTCAGCTCTGCTGGTTAAGCTCAACACAAAAACAGCTGCAAATTTCTGGCTGCAAATATGTTTTTTTTAGCTCAAAGAAGCTGCAAGTTGCAGTGATGGAGCTTATACAGAATCTTGTTTAATTGCGTCTCATATTATTCCTCATCCCAAAATCTTACATCGATATGTAAGCCAACTATAATATGAAACTATAGTAAAGTAATTTTTATAAAATTAATGTATACTGCTTAAGTTAAAAAAAAAATAGGGCCTTTATGCTACTTTCTGGACTGCAAAGATAAGCATTCAAGGATGGCTTCAGCAGGTAATGTGAGATCTTGCTGCAGACATATGGGTATTTTCTATTCCTTTCATAAAACATGAATTTTTATTACTGGATGCACAGCATAACAGAGTCCTGCAGAGAGAAGACTGGGATAATTTATGATTTCTAAGGTGAGGACATGAACTCTCAGTCTTAACGAAGACATAGCGCAAAAGTCTTTTGCAGCTTCATGTAGAGCTGCAGCTTAGAGAGAAGCTTAATATCACTAACGTGACCTCGGACATCAAGGCCAAAGGGGTACATGTTCTGGGGAAAGGAAGGAGTAACTTGGAGCACCTGCCATTGGGAAACGAGTAAACATGAACATAAGATAAAAAACGTATGTTCCAGGAGATGCACACAGTCCATTGCAGACTATCCAACATATGGCCATATTAACAGTCTAATTTTTAGTTAAAGAGTTTAATTAAAGTCCTTCAAGTAGAAAAGACGCATCATTATGACTGCTTAAGATTATTTTCTTTTAGTCTCAAGACCCTATCACATACTGGCTTGAGAGCCTATCCTAAAAACACTTGACAAAGATCCTTAATTTCAATGCTGTTCTTTGAGACAAAGCTGAATCTACACCAACAGTGAGAAACTGGAAACAGAAAACTTCTAAGGTGCCGGTAACACAATGGAGATCACATTATTTTTCCTGAGTGCCTCAATTCTTTCATTTTGTAGCCCTAACCAAATATGAAAACATTAAACACAATCTTTGAGCTCAAAGCCACTGCCAGGACTGCCAAGTGTAAAACGGTTACTGAACAGCTCTGTTCTGTTTATCATATTAAGATACACTTTTTTGATGAAAAAAAATGCTAGATTGCAAGTGTAACATAATAGAACCAGCAAGCACTGCCAGCAGGTCTCAGGAAGAGAGAATAATTCAGAGATATTGTCATCTGTAGGCCAATTTATATTGTCAGACAGCAGGTTCACATTAGTCTCTGATGTCACTGCAATAATGGCATAATATAACGATTGAGAAAAGAATACCTGTGGGGTATAGCTCTACTGCAGGGTATAGCTATACTTGTTAAAATATGGCAAAATCCTTTCAAAGCAGAGCCAGAAAGAAGCAAAAGGCTAGGATTAAAAGCAGGCAAAAACGCCATTCATAAAGACTTCTGAATATTTTAGCTCTTGTTTTGTGATGATGAAGCAAGTACAATGCTGTATTTCATTGATGCAGTGGGTTCATGATTAAAATAAACTAATGTGGCAATTTGGGGGTTTTGTGCTGCCTTTTTCTTTATTTTTTTTTCTTCCTGTAACAAGAAAAAAAGGCTTTTTAACAGTTTCTCGCGGCAGGCATAATGTGCATCTGCGCTCTGATTTACTGCACATGCTGCCTTCTCCAGCATCATGTTAAGTTAGGGTATCAGCATGGTAGGTCACACAGTGGGAGCGACCTTTTGCTAATCACTACACATCAGTTACTACTGGCACACAGCTCATTACTAAGAAACCTTCCAACTAGCCAGCTTTCAAATACGCTTGCACTTTGATTTTCCCTCCCTGTTCTTTCTTTCTTGCTTGCTTGCTTTTTTTTTAGCTTTCCCCCAGACCAAAGCTTATACTTTTACATAAAACCCTCTGTTGTGTAATTTTCTTAGCTAGGGTTCTAAAGTCAAAAATGCACCCAGTTAATTTTCTGTGATTATAAAAGGAGCCTGGAAACTCATACCAAAGGTAGGCCTGTAATCTTGGGTTTCAATAAAAAGGTCAGAACATTTTTATTCACCACCTATTATTAAAATGTTTAAGGGCTGCCATTAATTTGATTTTTTTTTCAGGATGCAGAAATATCGCTGGAAATTAGAGCGTAATCCTGCTGGTGCTTTCCCAACACTTTTCAGAGGCCAGGATACAGCTGTGGGGACTAAGAGCTCCCCTGCAATCTGCAGCCGGGTACTTTGGAGAAATGGCAGGTGACTAATGCAAGACAAACTGTTTGCACAACCTGGGGGCCCCCAGTTTAATTTCAGTTTCCAAAGAGGGGAAAAGTGTTTCTATTGACACAGAAACACGAGCTGTTCCCTGCCAATACATCTGCTGTGTTCAATGCACTGCTCCTCCCGCCTCCCGACCGGGTGATTATTAGCGGTGTAGAATTCAATAGCGGAAGAATAAAAAATGTAGCTGGAGCAGAACGAAATTATTTTTGACTTACCGGCCATTTGTTGAATGCCGCTGAAGGCACCCAAGTTACTGGAGGAAGTTGCTTGCTGCAGAAGCTGCAAATTAACAACAATAACACAGCGATTTATGTGCTGTTAAGGTAACAAATGAAGGTAAAACTAAAATGAGCTATCATTCTACATTTGTGGCGTTTATGCTTTCCTTTACATTTATATAGTCTCTTGTTTCTGCCTGTTGTTGGAATGAAAATCCCTAGAGTCGGTGTTGTAAATCCATATTAATGTCTAATCTCTATTAAGAAACACAGAGACACAAGGGAAACTCAATAACATTGCTGCTTTAAAACAATTAATCAATTTATTCCTTTTAACAACCAGGTGTTAAATCTATTTAAACCAACATAGCGTGACTAATTACAACCCTCTGTAGTCTAGTAGTTACCATAACTCATCTCTGTCAATCACAGTCCATTTGCTCCTACCCCGTTGAATTCTGTTTTTTCTTTCTTATATTTGTGAATCAAGCACACAGATATTCATTAGACTGGTAGTACTAGCTAACAATTTAGCCTACCTCAGTATTAATTAGCCGACCTCAATATCAATATATATTTTTAATTGCTAGGTAAATTAAGGTTTATCATATTAGATCACTACACTGATGCTTTGCCTGCATACAGATTATGTATTTGGGCATGCACGGTGCATTTATGGACACATATATTTGTCTATCACAGAGCCCTCAGGTAAGCCCTAAATGATTGAAAAGCTGCTAAAAGTGACCGTGTGACTTCGCGGCCACCAAAGGCTGGGCCTCGCTCACAGAGGGGCTGCAGGGGACCCTGGGCAATGCAGGAGCTGTGATATATGTGACACGTATTTAGCATTGGCAGCATCTTGCTTTAGGAAGAAAGCTGTACAGCACTTGAGAAAGGTGTAAATGAGTATTTCCAAACCAAATTGTATAAAATTAGAGGATTAAATGACAGCACTGCTCCCATCTTAGAGGCTATGCAATATACATATGTACAGTGCTCAGCCAGCCATCTGTCCTCTGCTTTTTGGTTCTTTTAAAGGGAGAACTAAAACTTCATCCCAGCTATGAAAACGGCAATGTAACATTCAAAAGGACAATAAAATCAATGGGATCAAGCTTTATATTTTCAGAACGACTAAATTTAAATGTGTGCCTCAGACTGCACTGGCACATCTTGAAAAGCTTATTCAACTTCTGTTCACTCGTATTCGCTTTTAGACCATGCTATGAACGTACAGATCGTTTTATTTAGAAGAAGACATGCTGTATCTCCTGGAAGATACACTGCAGGGCATTCACCCCAGCTTTCCCAAGGTTTCTAAAACAGAGAATGGTGCAGGCAGCACCTTTGGAGGGCACTTACAGCTAGATATTGTGGTGTGAGTCCTCCCAGACCTGTGAGGTTTCCCCACGTGGCAGTATTGAGCTGCTGCATCTGCTGCGCCAACTGCTGCTGCAAGCGCCGCTGCTCCTTGTCCTTCTGGGTGTCGGCAAACTTCACCACGATGGGCGAAGAGCAGCCCTGCGGGGGGACACACGGGGAAACGGCGGCGTTACACCCCAGCACTCACCTCCGGGCGCCCCGAGGGCCGCTCGCCCGCCCTCGGCACTTGCTTTTTTGGATGCGCTGCAAGGATGGAGATTTTTTTCAGGTTCTTAGAGGAAAAGAGGCCGTGGAGGAATTATCTACTCCCAGAAAGGGTGCTCGGATGGTTCACCCACCTGCGGTGTGTTCCCAGGAACGCTTCGGGTGAAGCGTCCTGGAGACGTGGCCCAAGGCGCTAGCACTGGCGGTGGCTGCCCATTCCTGACTGCCACCTTGGCCAGCAATTCTTCCATGAGCCTCTCCTTACAGGATACGGGAGGGCTGCGAGACACCTCGGGAACAAGGAGGCTCTAAGTCTAGCGGTCTGGTCTGCAGCCTCCTCCTAACCCCTGCCTTTGGGGCCCTCACATCAGGCCATGGAGCCGCTGGCCTGTGGAGGTCGGCTGGATATTGCCCTTGGGCTCCAGGCCGGGAACAAAGTCACGGGGAGAACGAGACACAAGAAGGGGGAAGATGTCTCTGTTGCTCCCGCTCTATTTTTTATCTTGTTAACAAATGTGTTTGTATGTTAACCTTTCAAATCCTCATTCTTCTTAAATCAGGGAGCAAGGCAGATACCGTAATGATTCAGCCCTGCGAATTAATGCAAGCATCTCATGAGTCATAGAGGTTGTCAATCCGTTTTAGCATTTCAAACTACTTTCCAACTTCATAGGATGCAGTGAATAACTTTCCCCAACCCGCTATGCTTTGTTATACTAATTTCTTGTCTAACTTCAATCTGAAAACAACGGCAGGAACAAAAGATGACTCACATCCAAAAAAAAAAAAAAAAAAAAGCCAAAAAACCCCACAGCTGAATTTTAGCTGGAACATGCAGTGTGGGATGCGGAGTGGGCTTATACTTAACCTAACTTTCCAACACTGTGAGCATCTTCAGAAAAGCTCCTGTCCTCTATCACCTGCAGAGAGGAGATGTGCACTTGTCCTCACACTGGGACAAATAGCAGGAACGTGCACCATCAGCAGAGAGAAGGATGAAGAAAATCCCCATATCAACCTCTCTCATATAAGAATCACCCATTAATCCTCCTTCTACTGCATTAGCTTGAAAAATCATCATTTGTGATTTATTATTCCATGTCCAACTCCTTTCTTGCACTTCTCATTGTAAAAATGTTTTGGGGAGGAAGTGGGGAAATATATGCCACTCCAGCAAGCAAATAAAGATTATGAAGGAGTCAGTTTGTTGCACAATTGCCTCTTTTCAGTGATTTTTACATTAATATTAAAAACAAGTCTTTAAGGAAAAAAAAAAAAAAAAGAAAGAAGAGGGATCCAGGGTGGAGGGTATGAGAGAGCTTATCTAGTTTATCTAACTCAAAAAAAGTTTGTATTCTATTTAATACAAGCTTTGGTAGTACTGGGCTAAGAACAACAGAACTTCCTGCTCAGTACCTAGAGAAACATGGGAATTGAGTTGATTTCAAAAGAAGCAGAAATGAATTTCAAAGGAAGAAATATTATACAGCTATTTTGGTTCTCAGTTCAGCAGCTCAGTACTCAATACTACAGCTGACATCATATTTATGAATGCTTAAATGTCAGTAAATTGTATAAAAACAATATCTCTACAATTTATGAATCTATAATTCATTTTTTCACTGTCTGCTCTGTATTTCATCACTTCATCATTTTCAAGAGAGCAAACATTCTGAAGACTCAAATTATATCCAGCAAGTGGCTCTATATAAGAAAAGGATTGTTATTGTTGCATCAAATTTACTCCATGATAACAAATTAGTGTCTTCTACTGGTGCTGCATTTGAATGCCTTCAGCAACAACAACAAAAAAAATCCCTCAGAAATGAGCTGGAAGAGCAAAAACTTAGAGCAGCAGTTACATTTTTAAAATCAGTGGATTTAATCAGGTTGGAAATGAGATACAAAGGGTAGTAAGAGAATTCATGACTCTCAGACACGTGCACACCTGAACACAAATAGCCCCACTGTTCTGCATCCTTAGCCTGGTTTGAAAATGACTCTTGGACAATGATGTGTGCTGAAAAAATCCCAAAATACTAAAGTAAAAAAACAAACAAACAAAAAAAAAACAGTAACTAACTGAGCTGAAAGTTGAGTGAGTAATGCATATTTTTTCCCTCCATTTTTTGGGGTGCTTTAAACATGAAACACAATGTCCAAAGATCACTGTTTCAGGCTGACAGTCCAGTTTTAGCTCTAGTTAACCTAAGCTAACTTTTTATTAGAAAAATGGCAAAAACTGTTTGCCTAAAGAATGACTTCTGTCTCAATTTCTCCAATCTTCTCTCTCAAGAAGTACCACCCAGCACATCTCAGTGCCTCGGCATCTCCACCCCATCTAGGGCCATTTTGGAGGCAGGAGAAGGTGCACTGCTTCCCTCAAAGAAGGGTCTCTCACCCTAAACTTTATCAGCACAAAGATGCCCAAGATGCAAAAATATTTGGAATCATCTTGGCAGTTTGGGGGTTTCCTTGCTGGTGACTTTAAAGGTGTTGAGAAGTGCTTTGCTCCAAGAGTGACTATGCCACAGGACTGGCTTCAAGAAGGATAGGACATGAAACAACAACTGCTCTCTGAGGTATTCTTCCTTTAATTTTAAGATCTTCTGAGGTGGAGCTGTGTGAAATTCATTTTGCTAGACAGAAAAATACATTAAAACATGTGGAAAAAATATATGTGAAGTACAGGATTACCAATAAACATTCTCCTTTCACTTGGAATCAAACCTAGGAAAAATATCTGCATTAACAGAGCATACACATTACTGAGAGTATTCCTTCAAAGCCTCAAAGTGGCAGTTTTTTTTCTTTGTTTCAACATATATGGTCAAGGCTGCATACATCAAATACCATCAGCTTGCTAGCCAAGCTAGAACTCCATCTCACTGAAGGACTCTCATCTAACACTGTATACCCGGCCTCTAAAAATGCATTGCACTGGAAAGAAAACACAGCGATTATAAAAATAAGCTCAACCAAATGCAAACGTTGATGGTCAGAAAGACAATAGCTTTGCAATGCCAATACCATTACTTGTCGTACACAGGAAACAGTTACATTTTCATGCACTTTCTTTCTCTTTTCTTCTCTCTCTCTTGCTCTGTTTATTTTTTTTTAAAAAAAGGATTACTGTTTTCTGGCATTTTCTCCTCTCTCTGCCCCCCCACCATTTGGGCCCCCGCTCGGCTGGTGACACAAAGCAGCTCAACGACATGACGCAATAATGATTGTTTTAGTGCCCCGCATGCTTTGGGAGACTAGAGCATTGCAAAGGAGGAAGAAAAAAAAAGAATAAAAAGGAAATAAAATAACTGAGGAAAAAAAAGAAATATCGAGAGTTCCTGGAGTAAAATAAATAAATAAATAAATAAAATAAGAGAAACAGTGCACATAACATCAATGCCACCTTGGAGAGAAATCATCACTACACGAAGATACAGTATACGTAATACAGTATAACATGCACTCTCCTGTGATAAGCTAGAAGATCCAGCGTTAAGTAAAGGCTTCATACTGGTGTGGGTTCTTTTTTTTTATTTTTTATTTTTTGGTGGGGAGGGCGCAAAATAATTCTGAAAGACCATGACAAAAATCACAGACTGGGGGGAAAAAATAATAGAAGTAAAACAACAAAAAAGCTCGGTGGCCCTCAGGAGCCTATGGTGGCCAAGTAGGATCCAAGCGAGGGGTATGAGGAGGCCTAAGGCTGCCGGGCAGGGGACAGAGCCGCCACAAAGAGCCCCGGAGAAATTAATAGTATTAATTTAAAAAAGAGATCCCCTCACTGCCAAGTGCAGGTGCCGACAGCTCAACTGTGGCTGGGCAAAATCTCCTAGAGTTTCTTCCTCAGAGCGGAGAGCCCCAGGTGCTTAAAAATCTCTCTAGAAAGAAAACTAATGAGGTGTTTGGGGCTTTTTTTTGGGTTGGCGGTTAATATTAGAGGTAATTTTCTCATCAGGGAAGCTCTGAGCACATCCTCCTTTGCTGCTGAACGCCGCCAAAACAGGCTGGGAAGCGGCTCTGTGGGGACTGCGCCACCATCTTCTGAGGAAAACCGTGTTTCCCTGCAAGGGCCAAGCGAGGTGGGCCAAAAAACTACCAATACTACAACTAAAAAACAAAGGGGAAAAAAAACGGGTTACATCTGTGATTGTCATGCGTCCGATCTGGTTGAGGAGAGCATGGCTTTACCATTCGCAATCATTTGCACAAAGAAAACAAAGAAAGGGCAAATGATACAGTACTGTACCTCCATGGTCTGAGACTGGTGCATGGCTTTGATTGCATTCTGTGCCATTGCCCTTGTAGAAAATGTGACAAACGCACAGCCTGTGGGAACAAGGGGACAGGGAGCAGGAAAGACAAAAAACAACAAGACAAAAGGGTTGGACGCTTGTTAAACCAACACAGTCTACGAGAACGGCCACAAGACGACACTGTTCTCAGTAGTACATAAAAAATAAACAACTTCTCTAGTTTATTTATCAACAGTGCTGACTTGCTAATCTGACCATAGATGGAAGGTAGAGGGAAGAAAATCAGGTGGGGATAGGCGAGATGAAAGGTTTTTTTTTCTTTAATTTGCTCGTTTTTTTCTTTTTTTGGTGGGGAGGGAGTTTTGTTCTTTAGCCACATGGTTTGCAGTAATTATGGCTTGTTTGTACAGTTTGGATTGCACAGTATCAAGTTTGGATTGCACAGTTTAATCTACATGCAGGCCACACATTACTAGTTGCTTGCTAGGTCTCTTGTGCAGGCAAATTTTGGGGAGCAAATAAATGACTGGCATTGCTGACAAGGGAACTGCGAGTTTAAGAACGATCCATAAACTCTCTTATAAATCTCAGTGAGGCACTGAGAGTGACCACAGAGATAGAAGGAGGAAAACTCTGCTGTGCACCCAGCAGCCAGATGTGAAAAGACTCAGACAAAATTCACTGACATAGATGGGCTCTCACCATTTAAGAAAAAATTGCATTTTTTTGTTGTTTCTTTGAGTCCTGGGCACCAGGATAACTCTTTGATGTGTGAGAGCTGCCACCAACTTTAACAATTCTGCAGCTATGTGCTGAAAAACTGAGAAACCACTTTTCACCTTCTTCAGTCTTTCAAATCATATATATGAAAAAAGCCATCAGGCTAATGCTTGGGCTATTTTGCTTCTCTTTTACTATTGTCTGTCATACCTAGAGCGGTATGGTGGAGGTCAGCTTTTTAGTGCATGACTCACTGCCCTTTCAACTAATAAAAACACTGCTTTCTGGAAATTTACACTTTATTCTTCATGCACCCTTGGGCATCTTAAAGAAAAAGACTGTGAAATTAATGCAGATTTGGGCTGATTTTGTAATAATACCATGGCACACTAAAAGCTTAGCTAAAGCAACACAGACTTATTTCACTTGTGATCTCTAATGACTTTAAAAGTGCATTGATTTTCAGCTCCCTTAGCCTTGCACAGTTTGAACTTAGGTTTCAGAGGATAATTTAGTGTTCCACTCAATTTCCTCAAAACATTATTATTATTACTACTTAAAAGATTTCCAAATGAAGCAAATCTAAGCACTGAGACGCTAAAGCATATTGTCATTCTAGAACTAATGCATGAAAGCTACATTCTGGCATCAAAAATGCAATATTGTTGCCCCTGTGGCCAATGGACAAAATAAACCATTTTGCAATCCAACAAGCAACAGATCGTTTGGCTTATGAAAATCAATTTGAGACATAAAGTATCTTTTTTATTTTTTTTTTGTGCTTTGTGTGTACCTGGTAAGATTATCAAGTCAAGACTGTATTCACATTTTAATCAAACAACAGTAAGAGAAAGCAATGCCTGATCATTACCCAAAAGCACTACATCTAGTCATGAAAATAAAGTCAATGCATTTTTGCATCATGCGGTATTTTTCTTTTTAAGGTAAAGGCCCTTGGTACAAGGGAATCTGAGCTGTTTATATATCTCTGACCAATAGGTCGTGTTATAAAACTGGAAGTCAGAATTTCTTAATGCAAACTTCCCGGCAATGTCGTGATACTTCATGTATTTCTTGGATAATGTTAACAACTGCTGATGTCTTACTACTGTTTAGACACACTACGTGTTGCTACTACTGTTATTCAGAGACAAATGTTTTGTCAAAGAAAACGATGTAACGAACAGCTTTCTATAAGGCATTCTAGACAAAATGTGTAGGAGAATGGTAAATAAGCCACAGTACCTCGGCTAGACTCCACATTGCTGCTGTGCACTAAAATTAGAGAGGCCCAAGTTTACCGTCAGTCTCAAAGTATTCTCTCTTAAAAGACATTTCACTTATCATTAACAGAGGAAATAACACCAAGGGTTTTCATTTCTTGTCTTGCAACTCCAAAGGGGGATGAGTACCAATAAGAGCTATACCAGGGTAGGCACGAAGCCCCACGCAGAGCCTCGGATAACGCTGCTCGCTATCGGTCAAGCAACTGCTCCGTTCGCTTCTTCTGCTCTCGTTCCCCAGGAGCGTGTACCGCAGTGACAACCACCGAGTGGAGGTTAAGCATGCATAAGAAGCATGTAAAATGTCAACGAAAATCAATAAGACACAGTTTATGCATTTATCACAATTTCTACCCAGCAGTACTGCTGTAAATAACTTACTGAGAGATGGTGCAATTAGCAGGTCTCAAAAGGAATGTGAATCTGCAAAGAAAGCAAGCTGCACACAAGAGGAAGCAGATTCGTGCTTTACTCCCTTGTGCTTTTTCTTTTTCTTTTTCTCTCTCTTTTTTCCATCATCTGACACAATGGCAAACCCCTTCCTTGTTTCCCAACACAAATTCACTGGCTTGGATTCCCCTTTCCTTTGTCCTGGAGGGAGAAGAGGTTTTCCTGCGATCCTCTGCAAAATGCCATACAGTGAGCTACTTATTTAAAGGAAATTTGCTCTCTTGGAAAGGGGAATGCCAGATGAACAACGCTATGCCACTAAAATAGGAGCATTTGGAGCCTTTTGCAGCAAAGAGAGAACTTCATTTTAATTATGCTCTGCCAGCCAGGGGCTACAAGGTTGGGTCCCTCTCCCATCTCCAAACTGCTCCCCATTTCCTACTTTTGCACATTGGCGCTTTGCACAGCAATCACCTGACTTGCCTAAATAATCATGCTAAAAAAATAGCACTCAACTTCATTTCTAAGTGTTTTGATAATCTAGGCCTTCAGTGGTTATCACTAAGAAGCCCAGTCACATGCTGGCTAAGTTAACCATCTTTCTAGACATTGTTCAATGCTAAATGTATCCACATGCAATGGTTACGTTTACAGTTATGAAACCTGGACACTCAGACTGAAAATTCAGATATGTATCATATTTGCACATATATTTTACTATGTGGGAAACACAGATCCTTTCCTTCCACATAGGACTGTCAGACTAAAGAGGAGATTATTCTATTCAATAGGATTCAGTCCACTTGACCATCTAGCTTGCACATATGATTTAGGTATTTAGAACAGCACATACAGTGGCAGCACCACTCGTTTTCTATATGGGGAACATGTGCATTTTAGCATTCCTCAGGCACCCTGAATTTAACTGGAAATCTGTGTCCATGCACCCAGGACTTCTTTCCCTGTTTAAACCAGATTAACTCTGCTGGCACCAAAACCCCAGACTCTTCCCGTAGACATTTCTGATGGGATCGGGAATAAACTCCCTTCTTCATGCAAACTCCCTCTCTGTATCTCCTGGATACGGGTGGTCATTTGGGAGCAGGGCCATTAATCACAATTATAAACGGGACAAGACTAATCAGATTTCACGCCTCACAGTGCAAGGAAACAGGAAAGATTGCCACGGCCGCTTACCTCGTTGCAAAAAACACTACAGCAGCTGCAGTGCCATGGGTCAGGCTCGTTCAGCACAACAGCTCTAAGCAAACTATCCCTGCTCTACCATATGAAGCCCAGTTACTCCCTTCTTATGGTCATCAGATATAGAGAAAAAAAAACAACAGAAGGGAATATTTCTGTCACCAACGCCTTAAAATTACTTCTTTTTCCTGTGTCATTAGTTGCCTAGCCTTGAAAAAAAAATACCTCTCTTTGTAAATATGGCCAACCTGCAAGTCACCTTGCAATTATTTATCACCTTGGGGTTCAAAATGCCAGGGATCAACCAGGGAAACAAAAGGAGGGGCGAGAACTTGGCTGCCTTCCAACCTGCTCAATGGGTAAATGATTGACTAGGAAAGGCTTCTGCTGAGTGATTTCCTCCTACAGACTGAATTGAGGCAGCCACTGAGCCCTGTGCAGAGGAGATGTGGGAACACATGTGCTGCACTTGTCATCTCAGCCAAAAGGAGCTCCAAACTCCCTGGTTTCTCTTTCTCCCCCCAAAAACTAGAGGAGAATTTTGAAAGGGCTGACAAAATTATAAAAGTTGCCTCCTGGAACCACACTGTCCTGCACGTAGGGCTTGCTGCTCGAGTGACCGAGTTAGCGGCAATACTCAAAAATGCGCAGCACTGCCTCATTTCAACTCCTGCTTCACTCGCTCCTTCTCATCTCGGCCTTTCAGAGACTATTTTGAAGTGTTCGGCAGGCAGTTCGTGCACTGGATAGCAGAGCATCAAAACTTGTGAGTTGCAAGTAAAGCAGAACATTTTTAAGCATGGAAGCGTCAAGGTAAGGATTTCACATCTATGTCAAGCAAACCTAGGCCTAGAATTAAGAGTTGAAGTTTAAAAAAATGCATCTTTAAAAAATCTGGAGATGAAATAAAGGAAGTTGTAAACAATTTAAATAAATGAATATAAATTTATATGGCTTCCCATGACAGAGAATAAAGCTCCAGGTGAGCTTTTCACCATCATCCAAGCAATCCTAGTGCCCTGTGCTATGGCAGTGCTATGGTTGTACCACGAAGTCCTAGTTCACTTTAGGCAGGACTCTTCTTGGCTTCCTGGGAAGAAAGAGCAGGGAAAAGCCTCCATGACTCCTGCATTTTGGGATCCTCTGAGATGAAAGTCTCTAGTTAAAGAAAATTTAGATTTTTCTCCCCCTTAGTTTCTTGTTTTGACTTCAGAAACAATGGCCTGAGCAATGTCCAGGCCGCCTTCCCTTCTAAAGCTTTATTTTGCTCTGTTTCCTAGCTTATTTTGTCCCCTCCTTTCCAGCCTTTAAAAAGTTTAAGATAAGGAAAAAAAAATCCACATTTCAGCAAGAGAAATAAGGCACCAAGGTGCTTCCATAGGGAAACTAAAAATGTTGCGGTGCCACGGTGGTCATTTCCCTTACTGATGCAGAAGGGAGAAGGTGGCCTCTAATCCAAGCTGTTCCCATGCTCAGCACTTCAGCTCATTGAAGGAGCAGTAAATATCCATGAGAAGAAACAAACAGGCACAAAACCTATTCACCTACCCTTCACTACAAGCAATTATGAGGCAAATATTAATTTTCTTTTATGTGCTTATCAAAAAAAACCCAAATCTCAAAAGTTACAAATTTTATCAATACAAATTGCCTCACCATGGCGCGACTGTCTCTGACATTTCTAAACTGCTCTTAAGAAAATGAACAAAGTAATTCCTAGTAACTGAGGTCTGCAGAAACGTTCGCTTGTCCCCAAGTGCTTAGAGATGCTTTGTTAAAAAGTCAAAAAATTGGAGTGTAGATGTAGGAATATTCATTTTGAGCCTTTCTACAGCGTTCATGTAGATCCAAGTGTCTGCACGTGTAATTAGCAGTTTTTTCAGTGCATGCTATTAATCCAGTTGACTTCTTTCTGATATCTGCTATATAAATCTGCATTTAGCAACACAGCAGCATAATTTGCCGTGTGGTGCTCCTGTGATAAGCAGCTTTTTTTTTTAATCATCATTATGGATGATAATAATTCCTAGAGCGAAGAAATATTGATCCACTGATCTTAAAAAAAATAAAAAGGGCAGGGAGAAAAAAAGCATTTTGCAAAGGTGGAGAACCACAGCAATCTTTATTTTGAGGAATGTTATAATCCTCATGATGAGAGAGCAACTCACCTACGGTCACCCAGCACATCAGCAGCCCAGCTGCAAATCAGACGTGGGTTTTTCTTGCTATTTTTGCTCACCGGGGCTGTCTGTGCTTGCATCTGTGCTCCTGCAGACACTGCACAGTGCGAGGAGTCGGGAGGTCCGCAAGTTTCCTTAAGCCGCTCACAATAAGTGATTTAAAAAAAATCTCCATCATCTGAGGCAGTTCACTTCTGCTTTCTCATGATAATGAAGCTTAGCCCATGATATCACAATCACAAATTTTTGTAAAGCATACTTAGCTCTTACGAAAAAGCGCCGGATTAAACAACCCTGCAGGCTGAATCCTTCGCTTTGAATAATGAATTCAGTGCTGGCAGTGGCAAGCTGCTTTAGATAGGCCCATAGACCCCGCTAAAGCGAAGGCCGGCCTCATGTCTGTTGACTCTTCGGCTTCTTTATCTCTACAGCCAACAGGGTATTTTTATTTTAAAACGTTTTTCACAGTGGAGAATTATTCACAGGAATTGTTCCAGAGCCTTCAGAGGGCAGTGCCTTTTCCTTGCTGCCTATTTCTTTTTATAGTTGACCAGAATATAACCAGTGGCAGATATAAACAACAATTATTTCTTAGATGCAGTAGTAAACGACAGCAGGAAAAAAAATGACTCCAGGAAAAACAGCTAAAATGCCTAAAACACGCTGTTCCACCACTGGCACTTTGCATCATTATTTTTAGTCTTTGGGTCATTATTTTAGCCTGGTTGTAGAGACGGGTTTCAAATAGCTGTCAGCTCCTGGCTAGGAACTGCCCTGGAAACACCCCGATCAGCCTCTCTCCGTCTCTCTCTTGACCTTAGCCCATACATTGTGCTCATCCTCAAGGGTTTCGTTTCTCCTTGCTGCTGCTGGGAGGGATGTGGATGTCTTCCTTGCCATTGGAGCCATGTGCTGCATTACAGCCCTAGATGCAGTTATGGACCTGCATTAGCCCATCCCTGGGCTAGCAGCACCGCTGTGGCATACACATAGTCTGAAAGTCAACAAGAAGCTTTTGCTCTTCATTAAGAAAAAAATAGCAGTTCAAAACAAAACCGTCTGATCAAGCAGTGTAACAGGGAGCTTGCAACTATCTACTGGTGCTAAAGATTATTTCCCTGAATCCTTCTACAAAGCTCCAGAGTTGGCATAAACAGCAATAACTGAACTTCTCGAGCTGCCTTCTTGCGAGATGCCGCATTACACAACTGGAAGGCGATGCCAAATGGGCTTGGTTGGACCATATTTCCATGGCACTGCTGGAAGTACTGAGAGTTCTTGAAGGTTCTGTGTTTTCCTAAGAAAGTGCCTATTTTTCATTCCCCCATCTGTGCCCAGGAGGGAAGCAGATCCGGAGGGGTGCTGGGAAAACATGCAGTGTGGCAGAGGGAAGGGACATCTCAGAAATGTGAATCAAAATCCACCAAGCACTACCATTTAAAACACCAGCTTAATTGCATACATTCCCCTCGCCTTCCCAAGACGGCTGGTGACCTTGTGCTGCTCCAGCCAAGACCTCTTGGCCACAAATCTCCCTTAATACTTTTCATTTGAGCTCAGTGATGCTGACCAACTTTCCCAGCGCTTGGGCTCCTCAGGCAACGCAGCGGCTTCACAAAGCTGATAAACATCTGCCTGAGAACCCAGCGGGCACTGCCGAGCTCATTTTCAGGTGTGAACACGGGTGTGTGGAAAGCAATTTGAGCTTAACAAGGCAAGAGGCATGAGGACACCATGGAGCATCAGGTGTGACCAGGACCCAAATAACCCACACGGCAGCTAGGACACTGCTTTGCTGAGGCTACTGGAGCAGACCTACCTGGACCATGATCTTTGGCCTCTTGTGGGAAAGGGTGGCCTCTGCTCTGCCTGGGATGCGCATAAAGTGACTTAAAAATCTCAGCTCCTGAATATCATAAGGTTGGAATTTGCTGTGGAACAAAACTACTCTGTCCATAAATTCATAAATAGCTTTTCTGTGTTTGCAGGATACCCCTGTCTAGGGAACAAAGCAAATGCACAGTTTGATTTCTGTGGATCCCCCAAAGATCTGTATCTTTGCTGGGTAATGCTAGTGCATCAATTAATTCTTCAGAGGCTCAAAACACTTGATGCCCAAACCTTGCTGTTTCAGTAGTTATTTAGCACCATTTCCACCTCCGACTTCCATTGCCCCTTCTGCTCTGCCGTCCTTGCAAGTGAAATCACTAAAATTTAGAGATTTGCCTCAGCGCGGGGTCTAGACACATAACAACAGCCTTCAGCTGTGCCAGCAAAACACTCATTACCGAGCTGCAGAAACCAGCCTTGGACCTTCCCCCAAGCCTTCCTCAAGGCAAAAGCATCGACCCTGAGACTCCCCTTGCCCAAAGGGACTGCTGCGTCCTGACCCTAAAACTGGTGGGATTACAGTCTTGGCAAGCACAAATGCACAAGCAGAACTTTCCCAGGGCATCCTATTTCTCGTTAGCCTATCTTTCCAACAAGTGCTTAATATTCAGAAGCAGTAGAGTAAATGCTTTCATCCAGCTCCATGAAACATACAATGATACATGCAACTTCCCCCGGTCAGAATTTCAGGCATTTTGCACAGTCTGGGTAACACAGAAACAAAAAAACATTAACTTCTCAACACCATACACAATATACTGCAGATTCCAGAGCCTACAGGAAACAAGTAGATTCGGAAGTTAAATAAATATGTACTATAAATATATATATATGTGCAATTGGGCACTGTTATCTTTTCTGTGCATTTTGAAAATGTAATAAAATGCATAAACTGTGATTTCCATTCTTTTTTATGGGTGGAGGAAAAATATGGCTATAGAAACAGCAGGGATAGTCTTCAGAGCTCCCCACCTAAGACTCCTTTACTCCTTGTGTCGTTCAGTGATGGTGGCCATTACTGTGGCATCTTTCCCTGCTGACAGACGGGAACATTGAGATTCGCTTTTCCCACAGCACCACGTGGCACTGATCTTGTGAAAAGCTTTGTGCCCCTGAGAGTAATTTTGGGTCTGTACACCATGGAGGAGATTTGCAGTCTGGGTCATCAATATACATTTAGATCTTTCTTTCCGAGGGTCTTTCCCTCAAAAAAGGCACTTTTGTACTCAAAAGGGACTGCCAGCTATTGAAGCACTTGGCAGCCCAAGGCTAGGGCAGCCACGTGATGGTTCTCTGTGGTGCTGTTCCATACCTCAGCCCTGGGGTTTGGCTTGACACTTGGCCCCAGGCTTTAAAAGCTCTTTGGAAAGCAGTTGAGTCTGGATGAAGTTCTTGGTTAGGGCTAACCTCTCCGTTCCCAAGATAGCGCAGCCCCATGTTTCCCATATGGTCATAAAAAAAGCAGGATTCAAGGAGGCTACACTATGCAGAGGGCCAGGTCCCATGTCTGGCCTGCCTCCAACCAGTCGTCTATGGTCCTTTCTCTATTGGCCTTACAACCCCAAGCAAGAGATGGGGTCAGGAAGGGCTCTTTGGCGAGAGCAGGAAAGGGGCAAGGGGACATTCCCAGCTAACAACCGGTGTGAGGACACACGCGGAGACGGTGGCCCTGAGGCCCTTGCGGGAAGTGCACAGGCGATGAGCCCAACCCTGAGCATCGACCGCGGCATGGAGCTCCCGTCGGCACGCGGAGATGGAGGCAGGACGGGCCGCACGCTCACCTCTGCTCAGCCCGTCGGGTCCCCGCAGGATCCTGCATTCCTCTATCTGGCCGAACGGAGAAAACATCACCCTGATATCGTTCTCATTACACTTCTTCGAAACCATTCCTATGAACAATTTTCTGTCTTCCACGGCTAGAAGATAAAAATAATGAATGAGCAAAGGCCATTTCATCTTTTTTTTTTTTTTCTCCCTGTGATCAATGCTTCATTACCACATCAAACCAGGCTCCAGTCATGTGAGGCCAGCTCTGTAACTGCAGACAAGTCCTAAGGCAAACACTTTATACTTACAACCTCCCTGCCTCCCACCCCAAATCTCCAGTTTTTCTTTATCTCATTCCTTTAAAAAAAAAAATCTTTTTTTTTTCTTCTGCGGTGGTTGCTGTTTATATAATGTATTAATTGGCTGCCTTAGTCATGCCGCCTCTGCCTCCCCATGGCAGCTTCGAAGGGAAAATCAGCGTCCGTCTGCAAGTAGCAATGCCCTTGCATAGGTTTTCACGCCAATAAATTCCTTCAGGGACCAAGGAAATCATGATGGGCGGAGAGGGGACCATGCACGGAACACTGGGAGCTAATGAGAAATATTCCTGGGAACTCTTTGGAGAGAGATAGAAGCTCCTGTCCTTGCTTGCAATTTCCACCAGCTCAATGCACAAAAAGGCAGCGACTGGTCCGGAAAAACAACAAGACACAAGGTGTATGGTTGGGCAGCACTGGGCTGAGTTTGCAAGACGAAAAGCTGCTCTACCTGAATTACTGGTGGAATATTTCCTGCGGGTATGGTCACCAACACCAGCCAAAGCTGGGCTGCTGCGGTAGCAAGCACACAGCACTGCTCTTAATCATGCAGAGATTTCCCAGTCCAAAGCTGTGGCCTCTTGTCAAGAAAGAAATAGCTCCTCGAAACTTAACTCACCCTGGAAAGACTTAAACCACCCCCCCGCCCCGTTTACTTGCCATTCCATCTATACTGAACCGAAAACCTAAGAGCTTATTATACAGTATATACGCTAGTGCTTTCTTCTTCTCTTGAAATGGCATGTAAATCTAATTCACCGCTAATGAGCAGACTGTCAGAGCTGGTGGGGAAGCAAAGGCAGAAGGAAAGCTTTACTCCTGAGACTCTGCACTGCACTTATTTATTTCTATTATTGTGCAAATTATTTTTGTAATGAAGTATTTTCATTTCAGGGCTAACAAAAAATAATAATGACTCTTCCCTTGCTCCCCAGCCCACTCTCCTTGTATTAACGTGAGTTTGTCAAATGGAATAAATTGCAGCTGAGAAGGAAGAAACTGCATTTATTTTCATAGGATTTTATTTGTGTTATACTTCAACACTTTAATGGCATTTAATAATTCCAACAATAAAGAAGGAGAGGTTCATGTTTATTGATCACAAGAGAGGTGCTGGAAGTAATTTTTTCTCTGAATTGCTGAGTTTAAGAAGTATTTGTAGCTTTTACACACACAAGTGCCAAGACCACCAATTTTTGTCAGAGTCCAAAATGCAGATCAGCCCTCTGGAATCTCAGCTTCTCACTCTACAAGCTTGCAAGAAAAATGGTGCAAATTTAAAACCCAGGAGAAGCAGCTTTTCTCAGGAGACATTCCTCAAGCCTCAACATTTTCATTCCCACTTTATATGGAGGTTCCATGGGCAGGTTAACCCTTCAGAAAGGGTTAACCAAAGATGAATACATGGGATGAGCCTGTTCTTCACAGACCAATGTTGGGCTTGTTATATATATATATTTTTGGATACACACACACACACACACAGAGATATATATATATATATTTTAAACATCTTTTTATGCCTATATGGCCTTGAGTAACCTCTTTGAGGAAGGTCTCTGGCCAGCCTGTCTGGCTGACATCAGCCATGGGATGTAGCCCTGGAGAAAGACTCTAGGCAAAGAAATTCAGATGGATATTGAAAGAAATGAGTAACTTTGTACTGATGCAGGGATCCTCATCTGGCAAGTGCAAAAGCCAAGTGTTGATGGCCCCCAGTCCTCTCTACCCTCCCTCAATGCCCAACGTGAAGCTTTTGTTTGAATTTCCCCCAAAAGGAGCTGACAACAAATTCCCCACCGGCCTCCTTCAGTTTTGCTAGTAAACCTATAAACATGCCATTTAACTAACATGATTTGCAGGTTTGCAGCTTCAGGGTGATTTTATAGTAAATTAAACATCCAGCTCCCGTGTACTGTATGTCTCAGAAATGCAGATTTCACAAAGGATGCTCAGAGTACAGAAAACATATTGATATGGTGACGTGCTTGGCATTCAGCACTATTTGTCAGCGCTGATCACTGCTGAAGCTTAAGAAAACTGCTATTCTATTTTGGCTAGAGGCCCAGCAAAAAAAATATTTAAAGGGACAATAGTCAGGATCGAAATGACATGTTTTCACCCTGTCTGATATAACATCTGATATCATTAAGTCAAAGGAATTTTCAATTCTATATTTTTGCACAGAGAAAGGAATGCATTTTTACCTGCCAAAGACTGGCTATCTGAATTTGCTTCTGCACCCTGCATGTCACCCGTTTCCGCCCTTTCTTTCCAAAAAGGAGCCTTACGAGACTTGCAGAAATGGAGTGAAAATTAAATAGATAACAGATTGCACCAAGTATGAAGAGGTATTTATTTAGAGGTTAGCATACTCCCCCATGGCATATTAGAAATGCAGGTCAGTGCCCAGGCACAGTTTGATGTGACACGGCCAGCGTTAAACCTGCTGGATTTGGGGTGAAAATGTTTTGCCTGACCGCAGGTGTGCACAGTGGGGGAACTCTGTATAACTAATTGCAGGTATCTATTTTACAACGAGATGAATTGCTCCTGCAAACCCAGGAATTCCTCCCTGCCTAGCAAGGGTGCCCAGGTGTCTCGCTTGAAGGGACATAACTACACCTTAGTCCTCTAAAGGTAGCTGAGATGAACTCAGCCTCTGCCCTGGGTCTGCTTTCACGCTGGGATCTCCTACCTTCTGACAGTGCTACATCCAACCTGCAAAATGCGGTCTTAAGGGCCTGAATTTTTAGCTAACCAACAGTAATGAGCATTTCTCACGAGGAAAACCCTCATTCCTCAGTTAACTAGGTCAGCTGTGCTAATCCATGAGAATGAAGGGTACTGATTATTATCAGTATGCTACAGAGGAGCTGAACCCTACAATAATCAAGGGAAACCGCCTTAAGATTTGAGCAATTTTGCTTTTCTCTCATTCTAAACCTCCAAAACTCCATCCTGAAAAAAATCATAGGAATACTCTTTATTATACATTTTGACAGCTCTAGTCAGTTAAAGAGCACATTTCCCCTCCAGAAGTTGCCTTCTCTTTTGAGCCAATCAAGAAATGGTTAATTAGGTATAAATGGTTATTTATTTTTTTATCATCCAGGAGGGAAGAGGGGAAAACAGACTTTTTTATCCTTATCTGTGAGCCTGTGAAAAACCCTCGCGTGCAATCTGTCAAAGTCACACCTGGATTCGGAGCTGCCTGCATTAATTATCAACTTTTCTATGTGTTAGTGCTAACATATGGCATTTAATTACTCCTTCCAAATCGGCAAAGTCGTGCCACTTAGAATTTCAAAATTATTTCTTCAAGTTTTCACTGATAAAATAAATAAAAATAAATGATAAGATCACACAACTCTCTCCCATCCCCTCCCCGCTTCTATTTAATGGAGAATTTCATCATTTTCCCTGAGGTGTTTCTGCTTTGATCCATTTAAGAAGATTCTGCCCTCAGGATATGTGCCTGAAAGTATTGACAATATTCAAATTTTGATGCAGAAAAAAAATTATTTAGTAAATTGTAGCATGCGGCCACTGACTACATAAAGTCAAGCATGCATTTACATGCTTTTCTGTATTGGAGTGCAGCAACATACATATATTTTTTGAAAAAAAAATAATAAATAGCCTTAAGCAGCCAAATGATGTGAGTGATTAACACTGGAGAGCAAATGGTGGAGTCTTTGAAGCCTTCAAGCCATGCTTTTCTGGCAGGCATTCCCTAAACAAAACTTTGTCAATAGGTTAAAATAACTGAGAGCAATATAAAGGTGGTCAGGTCTATATTTAAAAGGTGATCAGAACAGGACATACTATAAACTGCATCATCTGAGACTCTTTCAGGGATGCTATGCTTGTCAACAACAAAAGCCTTTTAAGAATCCCCCAGGGTAGACAAATAGACAAAATTAGACCTAAAGGCAAATCTTTCTCCAACCACTCTAGCTGCTAAAAGCTCAGTGGAAGAGATGAAGCTTTGGTTCATCTGTGCAAGAGAAGGGATGAGTCAGAGACATGAGCTATAGTTCACTGTTTCCACTCCCTTAGAGAAGGAAGGGATGGAAATGATTGCCTAGACCTATCAGTCACCCAGTTCCTACCCAGAAGAAAACAGATTTTCAGGTTGCTAATAAAGTCTGAATATTGCAGAAATGCCAAGGCATTTTGTCAAGCATGTGCAAGAGGTGTCTCTTCCACATCCTTCTTCAAGTTTCCAAGAGGCAAGCTTGGTCTTTTGTGCTAAGCGACAGGCTTATGAAGGGGCATATAAATCTAAACAGAGGAACAGCGAGCAAGAAGCAACCGAACTTCATATTTTTGACTGAAAGAATTTCTTTACACTTTGAAACTTCAGAAACACTACTTCATCAGAAAATGTAGGAGGATCCTCCCATTAGTCACCAGTCAAAGGTTTTCGAGCATTTCTCAAAACCTCAAATGCCATGGATCATGAAAACCAAGACCCTCTGGCATGCCTGTTTTCTCCTCCCCTGGGAACCTGCCAGTTTTGCCCAAGTGGCACGTTTCCTTCCTGCCGTTTGCTCTTGGCACAGATAACGTGCCTCTTCGCATGGAGAGCCTGCAGCATATGGAAACACACGCCGAGCCCTTGCCCAGGCTGTTGGGGCCTCCCTTCCAGATTATCCAAGGTGCTTGCAGGTCTCACCACCGGCATGGAGGTGCTTCCTACACCTCATCACTTGCAACATGCCCATAAGAAGTGCATGTGCTCGCCGGGACCCTAAAGCAGGTGTCTAAATCTCACAACTCAACCACTGATCTTTCCAACGGTTTTCTCCAAAATACAAAGAAAGTCAACACCCCTGTGCCCCTAACCCAAACTCTCCACCCTTAGTGTGGAGCTATGGCCATGCTAAGAGCAGTGAGGAGCTAATCTACCCAGCTTTCTGAGCACGTTCTCCTTGCAGAGCAGGACCAGGAGCTGCACAATTCCCCATAGCACTTTGCCAATATGTTCAATCTTCTTTAGCAAGAAAAAAACTTCAAGCAATGAACAAGTAATTCATTTGGAGTTTATTTTGCTCCATTGTCTGCTATTTTTCTAATTTGCCAGGAACTTAAGGCAAATACTTTTCCTTGAAAGAAGGGCCCATACAGGCTGCAATTAGCTCGGAGGGTCCTGGCTGGTGTTCCTGTACCTGGGGCAAAACTTTGCCCATTGCAAGCACAAGAAAAACGAGGGGGTGACATTCTGATTTGAATAGCAAAACTCTCACTCACTACGGTGGGGGCTGACAAGCCTGACAAGTCCTGGCCTCCTGCTCATGCAGATGCCTTGGTCTCTTTTCCGAGCGTTCAAAGAAAGGCAATATATTGCTCCTAAAATGCTGTTCTTGGATAACATGAAAGAGAGAGTCCGGGTGACAGCTCAAATCTGCTGTGCTTGTGGCCAGTTTTGTTTTGAAAGCTGTCCTAATCGAAAACCTAGCACAATGCGAAGTTTTAATTTCCTCCTAAACTTTACATTCCTTGGAGAAGCCTGAAAATGGGATGCACCACAATTAGCAAAAAAGAAGCCTTAAAAAAGCCTTGCGGAGAGATTTAGAGCCCAATCATAATTTACATTTGCAGGTATGTAGATCTCTAAGTGCACGGCTTCTGCCCTGATTACTAATTAATGAGGTGCGAAGATGCCTGTTGGAGAAACCAGCTCTGATTATGTGGGCCTTATGGGAAAAAGAAGCTCTTGCAATCTAAGAAGGGAGATGATATTTTTAACATACATTTGAGAAAATTACAGGAACAAATCAAGGGGAAAAATATACACATGTATATATTTTTAAAGGATCACACACAGCCAGGCTGCACTACCATCCGATTATCTTATTTCCTTGAATATACAAACCTGGCATGTTTAATAGATTTAGCGTGCTGTCTATTTTGCATGTCATATACATCCATTTAGGCAGTAACCTAGTATTCCGAATGGATATTACTGTCATTATGGCATTCATTTCAGAATGGTTGAGAGGAATAAATATACTGCGAGATGCAAGGTGGGTTTCCCAGTTCAGAACTAAGCATACAATTAAAGTTTGAATTTGGCTGGGATTCAGAATGGCATCATTCCACAGAAAAGGAAGTTTAGGCAAATGTTTAAGAACCCATCAGGTGCTTACACACTCTGTTAGCACGGGAATGCTTACTTTGCTTTTCCCTTTGTCTTCCACCATTAAAATTTCATCTCCATCCTATCAATATCAGATGCTCCTGGATCACCTAACTGCCAGCAGAGCAAGTGGAAGACACATGTAATAAGGCAGGCCATGACATACAGCAGGTCCGAGGCAAGAACGCTCCTCAGAACATTTCCATCCGTTTTCAAAGCTGAAGATAAATTGGAGTTCAGAGCAGGTCAACGTCTTTCCAGACCTGTCAGCTGTAGGTAAACCTACTCACACAGCTTTTTCCACACAGGGAGGAAAGCAAAAACTCTGGCAATGTTTTGTGTGCTTTCATGGAAAGAGAGTCACAATTAAGTAAGAATAAGTGAAAACACGTACCATTGGACTTTTCACTATCTGCAGGTTTCATCTGAATAGGATGATGCATCTAAAAATAAAAATGAAAAAGAGTAAGGCAGGTTGGATTGTCATAAAAAGCAAGAATCACGTTTCTAATGAGGGGCTAAAAGGATACATGATCAGTATTAAACATGCTCAAATGATTTAAATTCAAAACAGCACTACATTATAGGCTTTTAAGAAAAAATAAAATGGTAAAGAGGCATTTTACAACCAGGAAGATTAAAAAAAATAGATCATTGGGCCCATAGGAGTCATATAAAACTTTAATTTGCTGTATCTCGTTTCAGAAGACCACTAAAGTTACAGCCCTCATTAGTTTATGGCATGCTTGCTTTCCGTTTAACCAACTTTTTTTTTCTCAAGTTCAACTACTGCCAAAACCAAGATGGAATATTCAAGTAATTTAAGACCTAGCAAGCATTGGAAACACACTCTGAGGAGTTTAGCTTGACAAATGAACCTTGCTTGTAATTAAAAAACCATGTGCTGATTGAGTACCAGAGAGGATGAGACGCTTTCTATAACCGCTTAGTACCTTGCCTTCTTTTTAGAAACTCTTATACATTTGTTCATAAGCTTCTACCACAAGACAGAACAGCTCTGTTTCCCCAAAAAACTCCTAATATTTTCATTTTCAACCTGTTCCTCCCTTCTCCCCCCCCATTATGGCTAAATAAATCTTAGTGTCCTGTGGTGTCCATCATGTGGCATCCCAGGTTCACACACTTGGTACAGTGTGTCCTCATCTTTTGCTACCAAATGTTATTCCCACACCTTTTATGATTTACTATGCCACCCAAACTTTCTCTGAAAGTGTTTTCTGTTTGTTCAGGATCAGCAACATCAGAACAGCTAATAATAACCTCTCTCTGATCAGAATGCCTGGCACTTCCACTGGACCTTCTTCCTTTGATTATAGATAGCTGTGTGTCCACTGTGATAGAGTCAGATGAAATTTGTTACAGCTACTCAAAAGCTTCCCGAAGTCTTGTCCATGCTTGCAAAAAATGCCCCCTCCCTTATTTTCTTGAGTAGGGATCTGCAGAACTGCAGGGATTTGCCTGTACAAACCTCACTGCAGCAGTGGAGCCCCTGACTTCTTTTTCTTCCTCAATCCTTCCACAGTTCTGACCAGCATGTATCAAAGTCTGTGTTCTTACTGCTTTTATATTGTCTTTCAGTGAAACAAAGCTGAGTACTGCCTAAATAGTCATATATATATATATATATTTAATAAAGGACTGTTATGCCAAACTTGGCTTTGAAAAACCAAAGCATCTGAGCAGGAGATGACATCCACCCACTCATCTCAAACACACTTCCAGAGCCACAAACAACCAAATCTGTGTTCATTTTGGTGAAGTCATGTAACACCAGGGACAAATCTGCTAAATTCTTCAGCAAACATAAAATATTGCTGCGAATCTTCTCAAAAGATTTACTTAAAATAGAGTGCTCCCTGGCCCTACAAATCAATGCATTCCTCGGACTGCCTGAAACCTCCCCACTGTGCCCTAAGGAGAAGGCAAAGTCACAAGGTGGACACAGTCACCAGGATGCATAAATTTGCTTTCAATTTTAACAATCCTGTTCTTTTTGAATCATTTGTTTCCCAAATGGACTTTAATAGCCCTGCACTTTCCTGCTACCGCTCCTATTCCATCTAATTTACAGCAAAAAGGGAACTTACACTGCGCTCCATCTTCTTTAACCAGTGCTTAACATTTAGCTGGCATCAACAATACACCAGGCACTGCAGGAGCCTTTGAATTTGCGGGAATGTGATGATGTGGTGCAGTTTGTCCATGAGCAAGCAAAAAAATAAATAAGAAAGAGGAAAAAAGGTGCAACCTGCTCCGATGAGGCCTGCAGGCCCTGGTGGCTCTGCAGAATGATGGAAAGATGGAGCAATCAAGCAACCACAGGACTTGTCTGGATGGCTGTAGCAGAGCACAGCTAAGAGCAGCAGGCACAGAAGAACTAAGGTAGGCATGAGGAGACCCATCTCCTGATATGAGAGGTCCAGAAGGATGTAGGATATTTTCCTAGGACCATCGGAAACACCATTTCTCAATTTGCCTTACATTTGGGAATATGCACCTCTAGAAAAATCACACTTAATCCAGACCCTAGGAAGTCTTCTCTGCTTGCTAGCAAGCACAAATCAGGGGTGATTCCATTGCATTTAGCAGCCTTATGTCACTGCAAAACTAATGGCAGATTCGGATCAGGCTAAGAGGGTCTAAATCACAGCACACCCATAGCAAAAGGGATGCGATACACAAACATGGCTTCAGCAAAGGGCTGGAAAAAATATGATACTGTCAGTTCCCTAACATGAGAGGGCTCATGTTGAAGCTTGTTTAACCCTGACCATCACCAATTGATACGTTAACAACCTTTAACACCGGATTCAATAAAACATGCCATTTATAACCTGAAATGGGTTTTACAGAGTCACTGGTTCGCATCTCATTATTAAACTCATTGCTGACCTCTAGAGACAACTGCCGTGACAATACATATTATAAGCTCTCTAGCCATAAAATATTTAAAAGTAGGTGTATAAAAGAGGAGAAAAAAAAAAGAAAAAAGAAAGAATGAATCTTGAAGAAGAGCACAGTGAATACGAAAATTAAAGAGGCAGACACAAAGGCTAAACAGGTGCTATCCCTTCCCTCTACAATGAGCAAAATGAAAATAGTCTGTGCGTTTTATATCTTGCTTGTATAACTGTAGGCTATAAAATAATAAGAGAGCTGTGCTTTCCCAGGCCCTCCAAAAGATTACAGATGATACAGACCTGTTTCAAATTAGATGCCACCCACTAGAATCATGTCATCTATGGCCATGAAGGATTTCACGTCTTATCAGCAAGCTGTTATTGTGGCTATACATCACACCGCCGCACACTTAGGCGTCTCAAGGTAAGCGATGGCTCGGTGTGTCACGTTGTCATACAGAAAAAAAACAGGAAATGTTTTCTTCTGCGGCTTGAAGAGAAAGCTTCACTTCTAAAAATACAGTATTTATGAGTACATGCTTGCAATTAGTAAGCAGGGAAGAGTTAGGGGAGTGACTGCAGTAAGTAATTTATATATGGTAATGCTATGCTGAGCATCGACTCTATAGTCAGAAGAAGACCCTATAGAAGCAGAGAGGGCAGCAGCAGGCCCAAAGACCTGGAGTTGGCACTGATTAGTTTTACATATATATATATGTGTATATAGACTCTTTTTTTCCTGAACACACACAACCATATGCACATATAACGTCATCAGAGAGAATAAAAACCAATGGAGCAACCCCAAACCCTCCCAGCGCCACAGATCCTCCCCAGCCTTCATTAAGCCATCACTCCTGCCAGCTTTCTCTCATCGGCTGTCAAATAAGATTCCCTGACCCCAATTCGCAATCTTAACACAAGGGCACAAGCAGGGGATTAGGAGGACCCAGACCTGGCCCAATGCTCTGAGTCCAAACCAAATGATCTTGGTGCATAAAGTCCATGTTACACAACACAAAGTCAAGTGAAACTTTTTTTTTTTTTTTTTATTTTGTCCCTGGCAAAAGGCCAAAACATTTCCTTGTGTTTAGCCTCCTCTCTTCGAATGCTGCTGGAAGCTCACCAAAGCTTGCTCCACCACCTAACAGGGAGTGCAAACACCTCCAAAACCAGGGAAAAAGTAGAAACAGCGTGTACAAGGGGTCCAACAAAGGAAAAGGAAGCAGGAGGCTCTAAGGAAGGGAGAAGGAATTGAAAATAATGATACAATGGTGAGATGAAGGCTAAAAGAGATATAAGAGCTTGCAATTATTAATATTGACCCATTCTCCTGAAGAACTCGCCTTATTTGGGTGACATCCAAAGCAAACAAACAGCAAGAGGATTAAAAGATGACAGCTTGCTTGTATCTTGTCATTTCTATCATTTTGGGACCTCCTTCTTGCTAGGATCGATCACTGTCAAAGCCAAAGGAGACTTCCTTCATGTTTCATGTGTCACAAAACTATAAAATGGTAGGAGAGGACGTGTGAAGAGAGAAGAAGAGATGTCAGACCATAACGGGACCTTAATATTCCTCCTGCGCAAAAGGATTATAAATCTATGGACTGTTTGGAAACAATGGGAAAACCAAAGATGAAGAAAATATTAGTCATTGGTTAGGGGACTCAGGGAAGAAATACGCCTGAAGAGGCATCAACATGGATGCTGGGAAATAAAAGTGTGTGTGCTTTGTGTAACTAGTTTAAACTTTAAATCAATTTAAAGTTTTCTCCAGGCTACTGATTCAATAGGTGAATACAGCCTAATTGGACTGGTAGTGCAAAGAAAATGAGAAACAAAATGTCTTCCTCATAAATTCCTGCACATCCATCCCTTCAGAGCATCTGGAAGCCCGGATGCAGAGCATTGACCCATCAAAAAACCGAGGGAAGAGGGGAGAATGGTCCACCAACTCCAGAAAATTAAACGATTCCCTGTGTCTTCAGAGAGAATTATTTTTCTGGGTTATTATTAGCAGATGCTTACATTCAGCTCTTCTCGAGGGTCCTGTTGGAGAAGCTCTTGAACATATTTCTCCCATCACTTCAACAGCAACTTGTTTTGCTCTTGAAAACCCATGCGACTCACAAGAAATAGGAGTTTCCCAGAAGCGAAAGAGGTGTATTTTCCTATCAAAGAGAACTGTTTAGAACTACTACTCTAGGGTCAAACTAACTTGAAATACACAGTCAATATCTGGCTGTAGCTTCAGGGAACTTGTCTGGAAGCTGGGTACAGTCTCTTAGGCTGAATAAATACTAGTGGAATAAAAGAGGCAAGGGACCACTCTTAAGACAAGTGGCATGGCACAGCTTGCATTTATACATCTATACTTCTCTTTTCTATCAAAACAGGACGGCCTTGTCCACTCTGCCTAGTGAGAACAGTGTCTACCCACATTATTTCCCCAAACATATTTATTGGCACACACCAAACCACTACACATCATACCACAAATCAAGCAGCATTGAAACCAG